CCAACTTCTGAAGAGCTTATCGCCAAATACGCCGACAACCCCGAAAATCTGGACAACGGTCAGCCGAACGTCAACATGGACGATGTTACGTCGGCTGATCCCCGGGATCCGGCTCTTCCTCAAGCTTCTGAAGAACCTCGTCCTTCCTCACCTCTTCCGACTGCAAACCCGCCTGTACTTCGAGTCCAAGTTCCGCCCTATGAGCCCAACTTCGGCGACTTCCGGACTGTCAAACGTCGTTTCTATGACACGTCAGCGTTTTGTCATCAAGCCTGGGCCTACTTCCTTATTCACTGCATCGACGAGTGGGACGAGCTGGACGATGATAGTCGGTATACTCTGACGGTGGAGCTGCTTGCCGACCTTCGGAGCCGTGGGACTTATAAGCAGTGCCGGGCAGAGGATCCTCTTCTCGTTATCTTCACCGACTGTTTGAAGCGGATGTTGGAGTATGGGGAAGGGGAATATAAGTATACCGGGGACACGAGCGTGGATACGGTGTGCCGGACTCAAGCCAACGGGGTGTCTTTTGCCGAGTGGATTTTGCGCAAGGAGCCACAGTATGCTTCTAAGGTGGTCCGCGATGATATCGTCTACTTCTGGCTTCGTCTGGAGCGCTTGGTGAAACACAGTATCCGCTTTTACGACGACTGGGCAGCAGTCATTCCGTCAGCACGTTCCGTGAGACGGCGTTCTTCTGAGACAGCGCGGGAGCAATCGGTTGTGCCCCCTTCGTCTTTAGCGCTGGCTGCTGCTCAGCAGATGGCGTCAGTTTCTCTAGCTTTGCCTTCCTCTTCCACTTCGCACCCAGTCTCCTCTGTACAGGCAGCCTCTATCTCGATACCTGCTGCAGTCCCAGTTGCAGCAGTTGTTCTTCCTTCAGCTGCGGTGCCCCCAGCTTTGTCTCCTCCCTCGACTTTTCCGCAACCAGCTTCTCAGCCAGTCAGCGTACAGCCGACTCGGTCTTCTGTTTCTTTGCGTCTCTCCATTCCTCCCGGCTATACGCCAGCCAAGCCTCCTTCTGCAGATCCGCAGCCGCAGTCAAGCCGACCCATTACTTTTCGTCGCATCAATTCGGAGCCAGCTTATGTCAAAGAGGAGCGGGCGTTTATTGTGGAGCCCGCTGAACAACAGCCTATCCGCCAGCACACCTTCGAGCAAGAGCTTCATATGTTAGACGCCAGGCATGGGCGTGTTATTATCCTCAACATCACCAACGATCACCCTCACGGCGATCTGGGGATCAGTGTCTTCTATATTCGAGCAGATGAGTATCTCGATTGCGCCCTCCACGACCGTCCACACCAGGATATCATTCTGACCGAGGCCTTTCCTTACATGGAGGACCTTCGTTATGCCTAGTACTTCCGCAGTCAGGTTATCTTCACGGGGTTTTTGGGACCAGCATATGGGGAGCTTCTCTTCTTCTTCTTGTACAGTGTTCATACTGTGCCATATTGTACATATGTTCTTCTTCTTCATCCGCGAGGACGCGTCTTCTGTTTGGTGGGGGTGAGCTTACAACTGTTACCCCGAAAAGTGACTACCTTCATAATTCGTCTACCGGAGTTACGGCGGCCGCGCGCGTATCTGGTGCCGCAAGTCAGACGTCATTTCCGACCTTCTGGGGCCAAGTCGATCGGCGGAATTCCGGCTAGCGTTGGCGACTTTGGCATAGCTTCTGTAGGTAATTCCGGCCTCCCGACTTCGGCCGGAATGAGCACATACATCTTTACTTCAGCCAGACTGTACGGTATAGCCTAGCGCTGTTGGCAGGCTACGGTTGGACGTCTTAGCTTCAAGAGTAAGTTCGTCATGTGACATTTCTGATCTTCAAGCGTGGCATGCAACTTTCGGCGTGCCGGAAACAGAGCTAATTAAGAAAGCAATCAAAGAGAAGCACAGTTCATAGACATAAGACCGAGTGACGCTAGTGACTGTTTCTATTTTGTTAGTGATCAGCGAGTCCCGGGACCACAAAAGAGAAAGACCTTCGACTTTTAAGACATTAGTTTAGGAGCGATCACTTAAGCAAGGCGCCTCGTTTTCGACAGCCACGATCTCTCTTGTTCATATCGACCACAGTCACCATGTGTTGTATATCCCGCGCCGCTTTCATGTCACCCTCAGCTTAGTACATCATTGGGGTAGTTTGTTGCTAGTGAGTTGCACTGTGTATATCGCCGCCGTCGCGCCGCAGTCATGAGTAGTTCTTTTCTGAGAGGGGAGCTTTCTGAGCTTACAGTTGCGACACTGAAAGTACGTTTTCGACGATCGATACATATACGCCAATAGCATAACCCACTACCGAGTTGAAATTTCAGTCCAAGAAGCGTACATCGCAGACTCACATATGTATCGATAGCCCGACGTCAAACTCGCGCGTGGGCCTTTTGGGACGCGCCGTTTTCAAGGCTGTAGAGCCTATTGTCGAAGCAGATTGACATAGAAACCATTTCAAAATGCCAAATTGAAACACTCTGCTGTAAGTTACAGTGTGTTACTTATGCCTTGGGCTGCTTAAGTCTTGAAGTAGAGACTGTTTCTTCGAACGAAGATGAAACGCGCTGTAATTCTCTTTTTTGCCCCCTATTTACGGGCAAATCACTGAGCAAGTGTTGCAACACCGTCGCGACGTTTTCCGGAGTATCGCGGAGTTGTTGCGCAATGGTTGGCCAACAGCTGCGCAGCTGTTGCCCGACCGTCGACGGACCCTTGCGGAACCGGGGTTCGCATATAATTGGCCTGTGTTACATATTTTCTTTCAAAATCCCGATTATTGAATTATTTCGGCCGTCCGATCACAAATATCCACAGACCGCGCAAGTCGGTGAAACTCGGCGTTCAAGTCGCAGGCCGTCGATGGTTCTTTGACGCATTGTTCTTGCCGTCAGATTTGATGATTTTAACAAGCATAAATTGGGTTCTCCTTCGGAGAAGTTAGAACCCACGGCTTGCTAGCCTCCAACCATTTCGACGGAGAGTTTAACTTAGCGTTAAAACCACTTTTGAGATTCAAATCCGGCAGTCCGAGTGAGTGCTGACGAAGTCGGAAGCACGTCATAGCAGACTGACATCCCCCGACTGTCCGTAAAATGCGGAGCTCTTCCGGAGAATGCGGAGCCCCTTGAGCAACCGAGTATCGAACAGCCTACGACCCTTTTTAGTGTGAGTTTCTTGTGGGTTGTTGATATGATCACAACCCTAACACAGATATGTTCGAATCGTAAAACTTCGATTAATCACCAGCTACGCCGCATTGCACCAAGTCGCAGTCGGTTCCTGATTCGGAGCTTATCATCCCAAAAGAGTTCACCAAATCTAGGTTTTCGACGTCAAACCCAGCCAGAAACACCAGGGCCCGCGCAGCCCCGCATACGGCGAAATCAAGTCGATCCGTGATCGAACCCTATTAAAGGGCGGCCTTTTAAAGAAGGCAAGCCAAAAACCCATGCAGCTTCCCCAATGGCATGCCCCACGGACCCGTCCGGGTCCCGATCTAGTCTACCCCGACAGGTTGGAGGTCAGCACCACCGGCTACGGCCAATCGCGGTACCAATGTGACCTCACCGGAGTTCTTGCACGCGGACCGCAGTGCATGACCCAAGTTTCACGATTTTTTCACGTTCCCTAGTTAAGAGACTGTCTCTGCGGTCTCTCTGCGGTCGTTCTGCAACGGGCCTGCAACTGTTCGCTCTGAGAGTTGTCGGCGAAGTTTGCAGGGGTAACTATCGATCAAATGAAGCCGCTGAGAGTAGATTAAAGTTACATCGTCAGACGTACGCGATTGATTCAAAGGGAGATGACCCGTGACGTTGGCTGCCGATACTAGTACGATCGCTAGCCGTCTAGATTTTCAACCGTCAAATCGACTTTAATATGTACCCAATATTTACAACTGGCGGCTTCTAGGACGACTGGCGATATCAAGTAGTTACGAGGTTGACCAGCGACGTCAGCTACCTATGCAGTCTGCAGAGCACTTATGTGCTCCAACTTTCAAAATTCTATGTGTATACTTGTATAAGTGCACATGCATGAGACTCAAAATAATTCGCGGAAGGTCAGCAACAATAGCTTGCCTCGAAAATACTGCTACAACCAGTCTTCTTTGTTATTATCGGACATAACAAGCATCATATGTGGGCTGATAGGCCAATTTTCCACACCCTTCAAAAAAACTCTTCAGCCTTGGCGGTGCGGGCCTGCAGTCTCTTCCACCTCTTCGTTTTTGGCCGTTTGAAGAGCTGGAAAAGAGACTCGAGCGCGTCTTACCGGGGCCTGTTCCGGGCATGTTCCAGGCGAGCAAGCTTGACACAATGAGACTGTAAATTTTGGTAAAACAACGGTTTGATACAAATCTCGTTCCGAAAAGACGCCATTTTGAGTGTTCAAAAACATGCGCCCCATGAGTCATCTTTTGAATTGCCCGATCTCGACGAGTGTCGGCAAGTTATGCCACGTCAGCATCGAAATTGCCCGGTTTTATAGGTTGGGTGGTGGTTTAAAAGCCACGGTTCAATTCCTAACAGGCGGTCCGCTGAATCTTCTTTTGCCTGGAAAAGGTCTCGTTATGATTTCTCCACCATGTACGATGGTACTAAAAGATACCAGAGCGCCAATCTGACACTTGCCGGCAGCCCAGCTTGCTCAAAACTTGTTCCGATCATTTTCTGCTCGTTCCGGCCTCCCTCTTAACCCTCCCTAGCGGAACGAGCTGAACAGCTCCGCACGCTCAGAATGGTTCGAAGAAGGCGTGTTTTTAGTTGCATGAGAACCATGATACAACAACAAGTGAAGACTTCTAAGCAGTGAGCTGCATTTCAAGCTTCCTCATGCTTTTTTACCACTTTTTCAATCCATTCTGCATCTTTACCATGAATTTTGGAGGCTAAAGAGCTCACATCCAAAGCTCATGAGCTCTTGCCGAGGCATGGAAAAGTTCCTCTTCGAATACTTTGAAGCCGTGGTTTATGACCTAGGCTTGCTCAAAAACTTTCTGCGTTTCCCTATCTGAATTCAATGTTGGCAAGAAGCGGGAGGACTCTTGGAGATGCAATGTGCATGCGCCCATGCTGGCTGATGTCGTCGGACCCCATGAAGCATTCCGAATCTCATGTCCACCATTTTCAAGAGACTAGCAAGAATGATGGACCGTCCAATGCGACTAATGTCATCGACGGTGCCAGTGGAGACATCATGATGGTCGAATTGTGAATTCCGCGGACCGTCTGTAAATACTAGTGAATCGCCCCTCAGCTCTGAGAAATGTTGGCCTAGTAAGCAGACTCTCTAACCAGGCCCTAACCAGATCGTAACCATAGTACTCTGGTTAGAGTCTGTAACCAGACATGGTTAGCTTGCTAACCATATTCCGAATGCTTAACCAGACTCACCAAGTTCCAACCGCCTGGTTACGGCTAACCAGGGTCTGGTCGGGAGTAGCCAGAGGTTGGTTTCACGTAACCAGAAATTGGTTACACGCGACCAGGTCACAAAGACCCTAGTCAATGGAACCAGAGTCTGGTTACAAGTAACCATGTTATAGTTTTTGCGGGCAACCGGCAACCAAATTCTGGTCGAGGATAAACGGGCCCTCAACAAGGCTCCGGTTTCTCGTTGAACGATTGAATCAATCTCCGGTGCGGACTTACCAGCCTAAAAGGCATGTGCTTGGTCCGAGTGGTGTCGGACCGACCACGCTGCGCTTCGACCGGGCTGTTCGGACAGCCGGGGGCACGAGCCGGCCGGAAGCAGGGGAGTTGCTTGTCGTTGGCCGCATGTGTACTGGTCGGAGGCATGGGCCCTCAGGTGAACGCGCTCATGCCCGGGGGCTGATTGGCAGCTAGCAGGGTCTGCCTCTGCTCGAGGGATGTGGGGTCGTGAAAAAGGACCACGCTCTAATCTCACACCATGGTAGTCGAATCTGTCGATCAAGGCACATGAGAGCAACAAGTAAGATAGGACTCGAGGCAGAGAGGAAAGGACTACAACCCGTAGTTCATGATGTGTTCATTCCAGATGTGTCCAAGCCATTTTTTTTATAAACAGTATGTATTGTCAGGAAGGAGCATGGCAACGTAACGGTCGGATTTGTTCCTTCAATTGTGTCGAAGTAAGGTAAGCAGGAGTAGATGGCTGCACCTGCAAATTCGGCCGATCGCCGCATAGCAACATGTACCTCAAAGGATTATTCAGCGCCTGATCCATGCAGACGGATAGCAAATACGTTCTCCAGCAAGAAATGCAAAAAGCGGACAATGAACTTGTAAACCACGAAGAGCTTCCGTCAAAAGGCTTAACGCCGACGATCCGGGGTCAAGGACTCAGAAGGAAATTGAACGCAGTGAATGGGCGGTGGC